CACGCTTCCTTCTGCCTTGAAACTCTCTTCCTGTCTCTCACTTCCTTCAGGTGTCTGCTCAGAGGTCATCTTGTCAGAGAAGTCTCTGCTGCGTAAAATAGCAGCCCCCCCTCCTATGCACACCTGGCATCACCTGGTTCTCCTTCCTCTGCTTCATTTATAAGTTAGACACCTGAGCACGCACGCCTCTTGCAATCCAAGTGGTGGATTATCTTTCCTTACCCACCTTGAATCTGACTCGCCATATGACTTACTTTGGCCAATAGCACCTGACTTGGTTTAGCCAACAGAAGTGCTTTGTGCCACTGAGGCGTCTCAGCCTCAAGAGCCTCGCAGTTCCCATCCCCTCTCATGGACCCCACCACCATTGTGGGACCGAGCCCAGGCTTGTCTGGTGCATAATGAGTGACCCCTAGTCCAGTTATCCCCCCTGCTCTGGCCAACCCCCAGCTGACCACCAGACACTTGAGTAAGGCCATCTTCACACGAGCAAGCCACGTCAAGAACAACTGAGTCAGACGCAGGTGACCAAACCACCCAGATCTCTGTAGTCTTAATGTTTTAAGTTATCCGGTTTGGGGACGGTTTGTTATGCAGCATTATTTGTAGTAATGGGTAACTGATACATGCACTTAGCCCAGTGCCTACATGGAATATGTGCTCAATAAATATTTGCAACACAAATGAATCAATGAATGAAAAAGAGGAAAATGTGTGTCCTGTTGGTCATGATCACTCCAACACTGAGCACAGTGCTTGGCATGTATTGTGGGATGGATGAGGAGAGGGTGACTGGTCCTATTATCCAGCCAAAGCAAACAAACAAAAAACCCTCTGGCTTTCAAGGGCTTAGGAGAAAAAAAATCTCCTGGGACACATGGAAGAAGGGAAAGTAGTAGTCTTTAGTCTCTAAGGGAGCAATGCTTGAGTCTGTCCTGACCAGGATCTTTGGGCTGGCTGTGGCCTAGGCAGTGGTCTGTACGAGAATCCAAAGAAATATCGGTGGAGAAGGGTCTGTGCAACAGCAGGAGAGAGGACACAGCCTGGCCGTGAGGCTCTGGGCCTCTCCCTCAGGTCGGCTTGACGCAGCTTCCAGAACCCTCTACCACCTGCTCCACCCACCGATCCGGACATCTGTGAGCCCCAGAGCTGCCTCTCTCAAAATGCAGTTACCATCTGCCTCTAAGTTGTCCAGACAGCTAATGAAAATGCAGAACCCTGAGCCTAACTCCAGAACTGCTATACCGAAAACTCCAGGGGCAGTTGTGGCCAAGAGCCTGGATTTCAAGAAGTTCCACACTGCCCTATGGGGCCTGTGGATGCAGGTTGGAACATAGGGATTCTGGAACAGACTAGGAAATAGAGGGTGGAGATGTATAGCTCTCTTATCAATCCTCACCACCACAGGGGATATAGTTTCTCATACCCATTTCATGGAGGAGAACACTGAGGCTCAGAGAGGTAGTCAGTGTTCCAGGCTGCCTGACTTCCTATCAGACTTTTCATTTCCATCCCAGCGGCATCCACTCAACAAAACACTTTGGCTTTTGTCTTCCTACTCTTTCAAGGTCATTTCAGGCTACTAGCTCCTTGCTGAGGTGGTAATGCTTAAGGAGAAGGAAGGCACCCAGTGAAGGCTGGATAAGTGAACAGAAGATTCAGTATGGCGGGGAGGTTTTCACATGGTCTTTAAGCAACTGGAGTCAATTAAATGTCTCTTCTGTGGCCAAACTGAATGTTGTTTTCCAGCTTAGAGTTTTGTTTGTATGTGTGTGTTTTATATAAATTTGGTAATTAAGCCACAAATGTTCCCAGCACACTTGGATATATTTAAATTACAGGCTGCTCATCAAACGGTGAAAATTCACAAAATGGACATAAACGGTGCCTTTTGTTGGTTCCCTGCATTCTCTCAGCACTCAAAGGGTTCTGTCAGCTTGATGGCCAATTCCAAGGCTGCCAGGGACAAGGGGAGGTGGGGGGCGGGGTGGGAATTGGCAATGACACACAGGAAGTGAAGTCCCACCGTGAAAGACTGTGGTTCTTTTTTTTTTACGAAAATATTTCATTGGTGCCTATAATTCATCTCAACAAGCCAGTTTTGAAAACATAAGCTGGCAAAAGGGATGTTTGTCTCTGCCTGGCTGGCAGCGATCCCTACTCACTGGGATGGGCCAGAACCCCATTCTTGATCACTGTGGAAGAGAATCAGGGGGTCTTGTGTTCACATCTCTTTTGACCCTTTGCTGTGGGGCATGTTTGGGCTCCTAGGGGTCCAGTGTTCACCCTCCTGTAGTCTCTGCCCACCCACTATGTAACAAAAAATAAAACTGGAAGTAGTAAAGGCAGACTTACTTGCGAGCATGATTGCAAGGTGGGAGGGGTCTACTGTCCTGGAGAGAAAGCTATAACCATAAGGTCTGCAAGCATTTTCAGGGTTAGGCAAAAAGATTTTTTTTTTCTTCTTTAGGCTGCAGAAAAGAACTAGGAAGTGGGATGACATGGTGGCATAATGGGGCAGTAGGTCAGAGAACATTCTGCCCTGTTTATAGGAGGGGCTGTCTGCTCCCTTAGGCCTAGGGTGGGCCAAAATTCAGGGGGTGGAGGCAGGAGAGAATTTAACCAAATTTGGTTAAGAAGCATTTTGCTCGGATTGGTTACTGGGGACAAGCAGTTCAACTAATCACTTATAAGGCAAAGAATGGGAATTTGGAGGGTCTGTGTCTGGCCTTGCCATAGGTAAACAGGGCGGGGCGTCCATGCATCTTCCCTTAGTCCCATGGAAAAGGGAGTTCTTTGCAGCAAGCTGTTTTCTGGAACACAAAAGGGTGAAGGGAATTCCTTCAAGCTTCACTGTTTTCTAGGAACACAGGGCTCAGGCAAAATTCAATGTCACCACTCAACTGGTGATAATAGTTAATCTATGAATTTAGTATTTTTTTTAAAGATTTTTTGTAATTAATTTATTTGAGAGAAAGAGAGCATGAGAGCAGGAGGAGGGACAGAGGCAGAGGGAGAGAAAGAATCTCAAGCAGACTCTGCACTGACCGCAGAGTCTGATGCGGGGCTTGATCTCACCACCCTGAGATCATGACCTGAGCCGAAATCAAGAGTCGGAAGAGTCAGACGCTCAACTGACTGAGCTACCCAGGCGCCCCATGAGTTTAATATTTTAAAGTGCTTTGAAAGTACAAGGTTTGTAGTAAATGCTCAATAAGTATTTGTCAATCTCCCTTACCTGTGAGATCCTCCAGGGCAGGGGCTGAGCTCACTTGCCGTTTTCTTTGATGCTAGCACACTACCTAGAACCCACTGATCTGCTGAATGGGCCTTGAGCAAGCCCCAGTCTCCTCATCTATAAGACATAGTAATCTCCACCTAATAGGGTTAAGATAATTACATAGTACCAAGGAGTTTCAGGGCCCCAGAAAATGCCTGACACGTCCCTGGTGAGCAGTGACAAAGACCCTCTCCTTGAACTAACTTTAGCAGGCTCTTCTGAATCCCTTTTTTCTAACTAGGCCTTGACCTTGGGCGCTGTCCTTGGCTTGTTGAGTCCAGTTTTAGTAAGAATCCTTTGGGTCACTTCAGCAAAAATCCCCCATCTCTGATATCTGATCAAATTCCTTATTCTCTACCCTTGATATCTTATCACTCTGGCCTGTGTAGTTGGTTTAGTAGAATTCCCCTTACCCCTCATGTGTCCTCTTAGTAATTTCCCATCCACTGACCTAGACCCTGCTCCTTGGCTATAAATCTGCACTTGTCTGTTATATTTGTAGCTGTGCCCCACGTCTCCCTATCATGAGCCCCCGTTGCAGCAGTATGTAGTCAGTCTGCCTTAGCACCTTTGACGGGAGTCATGATTTTTTTTTTTTTTTTTTATAACCAGCAAATGAATTCCCTTCCCTTTCCTCCTTGGACTCCTGACCCAGTATGAGCAGAACTTTCTCCTGAGTCTGTTCAAGCCTTCAAAAGGCCTGAGTCCCTGGCGGCCACAGGTAGTGTGCTCAAAACCAAAACCCTCAGGGATGCCCACACCACTCAGGGTCAGGGCAGCACCGGCAGGAATGATTCCGGCCTCCCCACTGAAACCCAGGACCTTCTCACACCCACGAGCCGTGGATGCAGCGCTTGGGGGTTCAAATTTAGGATCTGTGACTTTCCCAAAGCACAAGGATTTGGCCACTTTATTTCGCTGGGCGTTAGCTGACCTCTCTGTAAACCAGGAAAACGAATCATGTTAACTGTACGGTTCAGATGAAATGGTGGATGCGAAGCTGACTAGCCCACGAAGTTATCAGAGCCGAGGAACTCGCAGGTGTGCCCGACTTGGGAAGAGAAACCGAGGAAAAGGCCCCCACCTGGCTTGCCGCCACCACCCACAGGCTTTCGGAAACAGGACTGGGCGAGGCCGCGGCATCGATCACTCGGCGCTCGGCTAAGCACTCCGTGCTGATCAGACGAGCACTGAGCGATCGATACCTCGGCAAAGCCTGACTACTCGGAGAAGGCGAGGGCCGGAGTGTTCCGACCAAACGAAACAGGTTGTCGCCAGCCTCCGGGCGACTCGACACAGCCCAAACTCGAGACAGGTGAGCTTGAGCAACTCCAGAGGGCGGGCGGCTCTGGCTCTGTTGAAGCGGAGGGTAGGACTGCGCAGGCGCTGTGTTTTAAAGACGAAGCGGGGGGAAAAAGACGGCCTCGCGCGTGCGCCTTGGAAAGCCCCGGGGCAGCGCTCCAAAGTAGCGAAAGTGGGGTGTGAACGGGGAGGGAAAACAAAGCCGGCGCATGCGCGCTGAGAAGGCCGTTTAGCGGCTCCAGCTTTCTGCGCTGGCGGGGGGGCGGGGAGGGGGAGGGTAGACCCCCGCGCGTGAGTGATGTTCGCTCTACGCCTGTAATTTCGTTTTGCGCATGCGTAAAGCCAGCTCAGCTGGTGTGGGCCTGCGCAGTCCTTGGCGGGGTGGGGGGTGGTCCCCGTCGGTGCAACCGTAGTGCGCCTGCGCGAGTTTTTATTTCCTTCGTGACGGTACCGGCAGGTGTCTTCATGCTGTGGCTCTCGGACCGAACCTCTTTGTCACCGGCCTGGAGGGGGGCCGGCTACAAACCGAATGTAGGCCGCGAGCAGTGAAGTCCCAGGAAGGGAAGGGGTGTGAGGCCTCGCGTGGAGCTTTGGTGTGGGGGACCTAAAGGAGAGGGATTTCTAGTTTGACAGGAGTTAACGCTGAGCATCGGTGTCGCGCTCTGCACCTCGCGTTAGAATCCAGCAGAGGTAAGTCACCGTGCTCAGCAGCCCCAAGGTCAGGGGGTCGGCAGGTGTTGGGGCCACACCGACGGCCCGAACCCGATACAGCGTGGCCCTTAGAATGCCAGACTTCACTTTTGCGCCAGTGAATAAAGCTTTCCAAATATTTTCAAACCTCTCTGGAAAGTTGTACGAAGCTCCCTAGAAAGCTCTTGTGTTTTGCACAACTTTCGTGGAATAGTGCCACGATAAAATTGGAGAGATTTCGGGGCGCCTGGGTGGCTCAGTCGTTAAGCGTCTGCCTTCGGCTCAGGTCATGATCCCGGGGTCCTGGGATGGAGCCCCCATCAGGCTCCCTGCTCCGTGGGAAGCCTGCTTCTCCCTCTCCCACTCCCCCTGCTTGTGTTCCCTCTCTCGCTGTGTTTGTGTCAAATAAATAAATGAAATCTTTAAAAAATTGGAGAGGTTTCAAAACTAACTGGGTAGCCTGTTCCCAGAAAGCCGGATAGAGGCTTCTATTCCGGAAGGCACCGGTGGGAGGCTTCTCATGACCAGCATGCCGCCTTCGGGGCTGTCTCGGGTCAGCCTGAGACCTTTGTGGGGCTCTTGGCGGGGGGCCGCTTTCATAAGGCCCACCTGATACTCTCTGTGAATCCCGGTGAGATTGTCCAAGAAGCCATTTCTCCCAACCAGTTTAAAGACTACTCTGGGAGCTGCTTTAGGTTTTTAAAGATAATTAAAGAGAATTCTGGGATGACAGTGGTGGCTTCCTTAGGAGGCTTTCTTTTGTAACCAACAGAAGCCACTTGGGCTGTTCACTAACGAAGGACCAGCTTACTTAAATAATGTGCTCTATTGGGATGGTGAATTTAGGAAGTCGGGCCCAGAGTCCATGCTGACTGTCTTATATAGCCTATACTGGGCTCCTCTGTGTTTAATACAACCAACAAGAAGCCTTTCATGAAGTTCGCATTAGGTTGATTTACAAAGCCCAAACAAAAGCCACTCGGAGAGGTTAGTTCCTAGAACCTTTATGTGACCCCCATGCCAAGAATATCCTTTCGTGCATCAACAAAAAGGCCTTTTATAAGAGAAGCTAAGACACAGTCCACTGAGAAGCTATTTTACGCAATCTGTTCCTTACCTTCCCCTGAAAGCTGTCTCATGTCATGAAACCAGTACATGTGGCGCTCTGAAAGGTCAGTTTACAAAGTCAGGACACAAGAGCACTCCGCTCTTTCTGTACCTGACACCTGCACCCTCACTTCCTTCAAAAAAAAAGCCTTCTATGACCAACAAGTCTCTAGGCTGATAGCTGTGGAGTTCTAGGAGACTGACTTTAATGTGATGATATAGGGCCCCTCAGGCTTTTTCATAATTAGGGTGACCATAGGTCTCAGTTGGCTTGGAATAACCCTAATTTCTGACTTGTCCAGTCCTAAATATTAAATATTTAGGTATATTAAATACTGGAAACTGAAATTTGCATATATACAAAAGAAAGTTACAAAGAGCACTCCCAGTACTCAGCTTGTGTAAAATGAAATTCCTACTTACAGAAATGAGAGTTCCAAGCAATGAAAAACAACATTGGAGAAAATGATGAGAATAAAAAATTTTATAAGAGAAAAATTTTATACCAAGCCAAAAAAAAGGGGGAGTGGGTCCTATATATAGCATCCTGGTTTGTCAGAGATATTCTGTAGTTAACTTTCCTATACCTGACCACCAGAAGCCTGTTTATACCACCTCTGCTTATTCCCTTTCCTTGTATGTGGAACTCTGGGAGGCCAATTTGAAGACCGGTCTACAGCACCACTCTGAAAGACTTTCACACAGTTTATTTTTGACTCCCTTCTCTGGAAAGCTGTTTAGCATAACCTGTTATAAAAGGCAATTCAGTGAGCAGCTCTGGGAAGCCAGTCAATAAAGCCAGGCCACAAGGCTACTCTGGCTGATGCCTTCCTCTGGAAGACTGTTTAATATAATTATCAAGAAGCCTTTTTCATCAGACCAGTACATGGGGGATGCTAGAAGGCTGATTTGTAAATCCAGGACTTGAGGCCATTTAGAGAGGGGTTTCATGTTGCCTATACCCCACCTTCAGTGGAGGGGTAGATCGAATGGCTGGGTGTGCAGGCCACTGCTTACAGCTCACATGAGGCCACCTGCTCTGGAAGATAGTTTCATACAGTCAGCAAGAAGGTGTCTGACCCAGCCAGCGAAGGCCATTTCTCCCTTGAGGCCACGTTCCACGGTAACAGGAGCTAATGGAAGGGTTTTTTGGTAGAACATATCCTGGTTCCTGGTGTTCTGAAGACACCATGGGAGATAGAGTGGTTTGTAAAATAAGACAAAGCCTGGGTTTCATCTGGCCCCCAGACAAGGGCCCAATGTGTAGGCAAGCCCGTTTTTGAAACCGTTCATTAGTCCTTTGGAAGACTGTTTCACGTAGTAGGATGTGGCTCCTCCCCCAAAGGCTGTCTGATATGGCAACCATTTAAAAGGCAAACGTTCTGAGAAGCCGTAAGATTAAGATTACTCAGATAATGATCAGGCTGTCACCTCCCCATGCATAGTTGCTTCATGCTGCCAACATAAGGTCTTCTGGGAGGCTAGTGGTTTTGGGTTTGTTTTTGTTTTTTTAAGATTTTTAAGTAATCTGTACATCCAATGTGGGGCTCAGACTCACAACCCCGACGTCAACAGTCCCATACTCCACTGACTGAGCCAGTCAGGTGCCAGGGAGGCTAGTGTTTTAAGATAAATCGTGAAGCCCTTTGGGAGGCCGTTCAAGAGGCTAATACGGAGTCAGTCTGAAAACAAACTCAGAGCTATCCTGAAACGCCCTCCTCTGGAAGACTTTGTCATATAGTGTTACCATTAAGTATCTCTGGAGACCTTTTTCTAAGGCCATTCATCGAGGAACTCTAGACAAGAAATTAATTACTAAAGCTACTTTAGGTGGCTAAGAGGAGACTGTTTTGTGCAGGCCCTCTCCCAGAAGGCTATTTCACATGGCCATCTATAGCAGGCCCTCTCCAAAGCCAGTTTGCAAAGCCACCCATAGGCTGCCTGAGGAGGCTGGTTTATGGAGACCAAACACAAGGCCACCTTGGGAAGCCAGCTTGTGAAGTAGCCCACGAGGCCACCTGTAGACATTTGCTCTGTAAGGCCTTTCATGAGCTCTATGAAGGGCTGTGTGGTGAGGTCAGTTTGCAAGGTCCGTAATCTGCATCCCAGGGAACCAGTTGATGGCCCCTTTAAAATCATCTGGTACGCCGTTTTTTAGGGCCACTAAGAGACCAGTTTACGAAGCTGGTACATAAGGTTCCAGTGGAAGCCATTTTTATAGTAAAGTAAATAGGTGGTCTACGGGAAGGCTTTTTTTTTTTATTTCTTTTATTGTTATGTTAATCACCATACATTACATCATTAGTTTTTTATTGATGAATTAGTCTACTTTATTTTGCATTTTTCCATCTACAGAGTGAGAAACTGATAGTTTTGTTTTTTTATTTTTTATTGTTATGTTAATCACCATACATTACATAATTAGTTTGATGTAGTGTTCCATGATTCATTGTTTGTGCATAACACCCAGTGGTCCATGCAGAACGTGCCCTCTTTAGTACCCATCACCAGGCTAACCCATCCCTCACCCCTCTCCCCTCTAGAACCCTCAGTTTGTTTTTCAGGATCCATCGTCTCTCATGGTTCGTCTCCCCCCTCCAATTTACTCCGCTTCATTCATCCCCTCCTGCTATCTTTTTCTTTTTTTTTTTCTTAACATATATTGCATCATTTGTTTCAGAGGTACACATCTGATTCAAAGGTCTTGCACGATTCACAGCACTCACCATAGCAAATACCCTCCCCAATGTCTATCACCCAGCCACCTCATCCCTCCCACCCTGCCACCACTCCAGCCACCCTCTGTTTGTTTCCTGAAGTTAAGAATTCCTCATATCAGTGAGGTCATATGATACATGTCTTTCTCTGATTGACTTATTTCGCTCAGCATAACACCCTCCAGTTCCATCCACGTCGTTGCAAATGGCAAAATCTCATTCCTTTTGATGGCTGCATAATATTCCATTTAGTATATATACACCACATCTTCTTTATCTATTCATTTGTCGATGGACATCTTGGCTCTTTCCACAGTTTGACTTTGTGGACATTGCTGCTATAAACATTGGGGTGCACGTACCCCTTCGGATCCCTACATTTGTATCTTTGGGGTAAATACCCAGTAGTGCAATTGCGGGATCGTATGGTAGCTCTATTTTCAACTGTTTGAGGAACCTCCATACTGTTTTGCAGAGGGGTTGCTCCAGCTTGCATTCCCATGAACAGTGTAGGAGGGTTCTCCTTTCTCCGGATCCCCACCAACATCTATCGATTCCTGACTTGTTAATTTTAGCCATTCTGACTGGTGTGAGGTGGATCTCATTGAGGTTTTGATTTGGATTTCCCTGATGCCGAGCGATGTTGAGCACTTTGTCATGTGTCTGTTGGCCATTTGGATGTCTTCTTTGGAAAAATGTCTGTTCATGTCTTCTGCCCATTTCCTGATTTGATTATTTGTTCTTTGGTGTTGAGTTTGATAAGTTCTTTATAGATTTTGGATACTAGCCCTTTATCTGATATGTCATTTGCAAAAATTATCTCCCATTCTGTCGGTTGTCTTTTGGTTTTGTGGACTGTTTCTTTTGCTGTGCAAAAGCTTTTTATCTTGATGCAATCCCAGTAGTTCATTTTTGCCCTGGCTTCCCTTGCCTTTGGCAATGTTTGTAGGAAGAAGTTGCTGTGGCTGAGGTCGAAGAGGTTGCTGCCTGTGTTCTCCTTTAGGATTTTGATGGACTCCTGCCTCACGTTTAGGTCTTTCAACCATTTGGAGTCTATTTTTGTGTGTGGTGTAAAGAAATAGTCCAGTTTCATTCTTCTGCATGTGGCTGTCCAATTTTCCCAACACCATTTGTTGAAGAGACTGTCTTTTTTCCATTGGACATTCTTTCCTGCTT